CCCCCCCCCCCCCCCCCCCGTGGGCGAAAAGACCATTTTCAACCACTTGCAAATGGATCCGCCCCAAAACAAAAAAAAGTATGAAAAAACTTCTAAATAGACAATTAGGCTATATTGGTCACTTGGCGGCAAATGGGTCGTAAGACATTTGGACAATTATGTTGAATCTAACCCGCTTTGATACGATGATTGAGTTTAGTATAGTGTAGGGGTCACTCAACTAAGTCATAAGACACTTGTGTTAAACTACAATAAAAGATTGAATTCAATCGATTATTTAACTTAATTCGATGCTTTATTAACCATTTTTTGGTATGATGCTATAAACAAGTTTACAATGATTTGCAGATGCCACTTTCGAATCTTATGATTGAGGATTTCCACAGTTACAAAGGCTTTAAGGAACTCTTCTGGTGGATAGATTCTGAAGTACACAAATGGTTCAGTTGTGACTTGTGATCTGTATTCAAGTTTTTGACTTACTGTGTTTCTATAATTATTCATCAACTTGAAATTTTGCTGCTGTAAGAGTATTGATGGATGATAATAAGAACACACATTTCTAGCATATTTAAATCTTTGCCGTAATTCTTTATTAGTCAAATTTCTACTTAAGAATGAATATACTTCTAGTCTGTAAAACTTTATTATGAAGTATCAAACTAGAGATTGAGAATTTTGAAGAAGTTTGGGATAAAAAAAGAAATAAAGTGAATAATATGTTTATGATAGCTAAAGTTTAGATAGTGTTGGAATGAGAATTTGAGTTGAAAATGTATGATAGATGGAGATGGTGCAGATTATAAAGTACAACCGGAATTACATAATGCCTAACTTGTAATTAAAAAATATTTCAAAATAAAAAGTATATTGTTTTAAAATAAACACTGTTATTTTAGAATGAACACACAATGAGCTTACTTGGAGCGAACACTATGTTGCTTCCGAATGAATATTACGATTATAGAAAATGAATATTTGTTGGATGTACCTAACTTGAAAGAGCCCGGTTCATTGGCCACTGGATTCCAGTGGCCACGGGAGCCACTGCCCTCCTACGGATGTCCGTTTATAAAATTGATGACTCTTACCCCCTAACCCCCCCGGTAAACCCCCGCCAAGTCCCGACCCAAACTAATCACCTCACCTACGTCAATTGTACCTCGTAAGTATAAAGTCAAAAGTTTTGACTTTAAAGTCAATTATACTTACGAGGTGCAATTGACGTAGGTGGGTAATTAGTTTGGGTCGGGACTTGACGGGGGATTTACCGGGGGGTTAGGGTGGTAAAAATCATCAATTTTGTGAACGGAGCTCCGTAGGGGGCAGTGGCTTCTGTGGCCACTGGAATCCAGTGGCCATGGAACCGGGCTCAACTTGAAATACACCTGAATGTACAATACGGAGTATAAGCTTTATTGAAGTAGTGTTTGAAGTGATATTGGTACACAGAAATGACGAAATCGAACTTATATTAGAAGTTGAAATTTTATGGAATTGAGCTCCAATAATTTATTTTATGCACTACCAATTCTAAATCTACATTTTTTGTGCAACCATACAATAAATTTGAAATTATTATTCCCAATTCCAATTTCACAATTTGAGTTCTATGTAAGAAATAGAGGCATAGAGTTTAGGTATAGAGTTTATCAATCCATTAGCCTTTGAATGAATGGTTTCAATATTTTTAATATGATATCGAACACTAGTGCTTTTAAAAAATTATTCCGTATTGAAAATACAAAACACTAATTTCAAACAAGGCATCAACCATTGCCAAAGCGAAGGAGTTGGGACTACGAAGGAGAGATTATGAAGAATTTTTTAAGTCGCCTTTTTATGTAAAAAAAATCTGTTTTAGAAGTGTCTATTATTAAAATTTGATGAAGTACTCAATAATTTACATATTACAAGGGAAAAAATGGTTACTTTATTAGTACTTGGAAGTATATAACCACATAAATGACCACCAACTAGGACTTGTGAGTACAAATGAATGGGTTTGACAAAATTTCAAACTATCATCACACTTTATCTCAACAGATCAAACTACTCATTTTTCTATATTTAAAAAAGAAAACAAAAACCAATAGAGATTTGAAAGACCAACCAAAAGTATTCTTTTACTTACTAATGAAAAATACATAATGAATTGCACCCAAAGTGTTGCAATTGGTGTTCCCATAATAACCAAGACAAATTGTCAAACACACTAGGAATAATTTCAAAATAACTAACCAAACACTACCCAAAATTTAGGGAACAATCCATTTTTCTTCATGCTCTATGAGCATACAACTTCTAAACATAGACAAATGTGCCCTCCACCGAAGAGATCATCCGTTTCGCCGCAGAAGAGCCAACAATTCTTCCCAACTGAATGTCACAAAAAAAACATAAAACTTCCATAACCCAAAAAAGAACAAAATTTAGAGATTAAAAAGTAGTACCTCAGTTCCAATGTATTCACCCAGCTTGACTTTTTCAAGTCAAAATGGACAAATTTTGAATTTCAATTAAATAAAATTAGTAATGCATATTAGTATAAAAATGATTACATTATACTCCCTCCGTCCACAAATAATCTTCCCACTTTCCTTTTTCACCCGTCCACAAATTATCTTCCCATTTCCTTATTTGGTAACTTTCTAGTATCAAAAAGACTTATTTACCCTCATTCATCTACTCCGTATCTTCTGTTTTTCTTTTTTCCTACCCTATCTTTCCAGTAACCCCCTGCCACCCCAATTCTTCTTCTTTTCTCATTTTTTCTTCTTTCTTTTCCTCTTCCTCACCTCTCCAATTGTGTCCAGCCAGCCGCCCAATCATCTTCTTTGCTACTACTACCACTTCTTCTTCTTTCTTCTCATACCAATTTTGTCCAGCCACTAAACCTCTCACCATCTTCTTTTCTTCTTATTCCCTGCGGTGATATCAACATGGATAGATCTGATGATTTGAGTATTCTTTTTCATTCAATCTTCTGAGTCATCGAGTCTTCTTCTTCATCAGATTTGAAGGAGTAAGTCTTGTTTTCGCCAGATCTGAAAGTTGTATAGGACTTGTCCACCGAGATAGAGGGTTGTCTACCAGTGGTGTTCAATTCGTAGAGGAAGAAGACTAAGTGGAGGTCCTGACCATTGATTTCTGGTGCTGCCGGTGATGAGTTGAAGGACATACGGGAATTTGGGTAGAGAGGCTGGAATCTGGGTGTTGTCGAGGTTTGGTTGGGACGACTGGCATTGTCGGTGATTTGGATAAGGCATGGAGGCTGGGTGAGTGAAGGAGGAGGGAGGGGTATTTTGGGAAAGTGAACTACATTTTCACATTACCTAAATCTGTGTGCCCGGTCAAAGCGGGAAGTTTAATTTTGGGCGGAGGGAGTACTTATCTTATTGAGAACTTTTAGAAATCGACTTCATTGTATTAAAATGCTATACAAATTGAAGGCAATTGATGAATTAAGTTTGTCTTGTTTGAGTCAAAAAAGTCAAACTAGACAAATACATTGAGACGGAAGGAGTAAGAAAGATGACAAATTAAGTGAAATAACTCAACAAAGCACCCACTAAAATCTCACAAGTAGGGTTCGGGGGTACACAAACCTTACCCCTACTCAGAAGTAAAGAGGTCGTTTCCAACAAACCTCTAGCTCAAACATAGAGCCATAAACAAATTAAATATAGTACGAACAAAGTAAGATCACAGCGAGACGAAACACACATGCTGACACTAGCAACTAGACCCAAAGCACGGAAATCACATATGCACCAGCATAAAGTGCAAGCTAAGGCCCAAAGGTCAACCCAAATACTCTAACACACAGAAGCACGAATAAAGAAATACTGTAACATAGGGGCAAGAAGCACACATACTTGAAGCATGTCAAGGCGAGAAAACAGAACTGTGCAATCTGTTCCTTGCAGCATGTTAACAATCTGCAATGAATTGAAAGAAGAAGGGTAAATCACTAAATTAATACCCTTTGTGCAGTTTCATGAACAGGAAAGTGTTTATGAGAGGTGACAAAACCATGCTATTGCTAACCTCGGGGTAGAATTCCTTCCTCTCTGGAAGAGAATAGATGATCAAGTTTTGAATGCCACGGATCTTTATCAAACAAGATTTACAAACTCCCAGTTAATTTTGCAATAAAAACCCATTTTTTGTACAATAGAGTATTACGCAATATACAGAGAAACTCCAAAAATAATATTTACATTGAAGAAAAAGAAAACCTTGTATCGGTGATAGAAGTGTGCTCTCTCAGTGTAAAGCATGATTTTCCGCTGTCCGGAAAAGAACCAATTACGGGCACGAGATGTATCACTCGGTTTTGCATAACTATTTACATTTAAAAAAAAGAAAAAAAATATCATGTTGGATCCTAAAAATGTGATACTTTACACGAATACTCAAAAATTGCAATTTGTTATTCGTCCCTAGAGCTTCAAAAAATATTATTACAATAATACTCCGAGATTGCATATTGATCGAAGATACGCCTTAAAAATCGGGAGATCCATCTAACTAATAATTCTCTTGAAGTATTGTTGTGAACTTATTGAATTCCTAGGAGCGTGCGTGATGATTATGCAATCTTGGAGTATTTATGTAAAAGAGAAGATGGTTTCTTACTCTCCCAGCTTACAATCATGCGATCTTGAACTTTTCCTTTTAAAAACAAAACTAAGGTGTGTGTGTGTGTGCACACACACATGACGTTCTACTTCCAAAAGAGAAGATGGTTTCTTACTCTCCCAGCAAACAAAAGGATGCCTCTTGCGCCCTCAAAAAATTTCTAACTCGGACATAGTCAAAGTAAGAACTGATGAATATCATGGTGCCACCCTGTTGAACAAATGCCCAGTAGTAAACTGTCTACTAAAGGAGGAACATGTAGGAAAAGAAAAGGAGGATATGTAGTTTGAGAAATACAATCAAAACATACCTGTATTGAATCCTTAATCTTAGGAAACACCTGCATTTTAAAAATAAAAAAAGGCAATAGAACTAAAGTGTCCTCTTGGATTAAAATATGTCGCACAAACTAAAAATAATCTCGAATATATTTATATATCCATCTTAGCACTTGTTTGGTTGGACATGAAAGAAGATGGAAGGGAGTTATGGCATCTCCCAAACTCCTCATATATTGCATACGCAATTTGGGGGAGCTTTCTGAGCAGGTTGTTTATGGATGTAGAGTTTAACATCTAACACATACAATGGTGCTCCATTGTGTCCATAACAGGTCCCCCCCTACCCCACTCCCCCCAAAAAACCAAGAACTTAATTCCAACTTAAAAAAGTATCAAACATGTCATATTTTATTAGTGTTAAACCTACATTACACACACTACTACAAAAAATATGAAATACAATATCTTTTAGATATTTTTATGAAAAAACCCCTTAATCCCTCCACACCACACTAACCAATATATTCTTTCAATTTTCAACTCTGCTATTATATTTTCTTTAATTACCTTTCTAAAGAATACTAGAACTTCCTGTAGTATGACACAAGCACACAACCCAGGATAGCTTTGTGTATTTTAATATGTGAGATCATTTTTATTTATTTAAGTACATAAAAATATGGATGTGTGAGAACTGCAAACAACATAGTT